GGAAACTCTGACGCCACACTTCGTGCCGGCACACGGACAAAAAAGTTGAAGGCGTTCCCAAATTTTCTTGGTAGAGGCAACTTCGTTGCACTTAGGATCGCCTGTATTAAGGGTCTTTGTTTTACTGCTATGGATGGGACTGGGACAGGGGAAAAGAGGCATAGGGCTGGCATTACATTTGTAGAGGACGAAAAGGAAGAAGGAAAGGAAAAAGGAAAAAGAAAAAGATATGCGTGGCTTTCTCCTTCTTGCTGTCTGTTCCTCTCTGCTATGTTTTTTTTTTTTTTTAACAAAATGCATTCGCGGTCGTTAATATGAGAATGGGATTCAGTTGTTGTCCAGCCTATGAACTGGCTTGATGGCGATTTTGATGTCCCTGCAGCGATGATTTTTTTTTTTTTTTTTTTCCGGAGTACCACGCACTATCTTTGTGAGATGAAGAAGGTGTGATTTGACTGGATGTTTTTATTGAAATTTCGAATAGATGAATAATTAACTACATGGCCATAGTTCAGGCTAAAGGTACAAATGAGGCTCTAATTTTGGATCAAAGACCGTTGCTGATCATTCTGTATGAACTGTTGCGGTGGTGCCTGCGCCTGTGTGCAGTGGTCGCGAACTCTTCTTGTCCGATGCTACGCTATTTGTTGACGACGCTGAGGCCTGTGACGAGTACGAGAGAGAAGAGGAGCAAGCTACACCAGCAGAGCCATCCTCTGCAGCGCGGGCGTCAGAGGTGTGTCCTTCGACTGCAGACAATTCAACTAGTCAAATTCATGGCTTGCAGATTTTATGTGATCGAGGACGGGAAGGAGAGGGAAGGGTTGTGCTAAAATGATGAGTTCTCCCCCCCCCCCCACCCCTATCAGCTCATCGAATTCTCTCTCGTCTTTTCCCGTAAGCTCAGGCATACCAGACTGTTGGTCATCTGCTTTTTTGCTTGGCTTGCCCGCACATCCAGCAAGGAAAGCTCCGGGGGTGAGGGAGTTTCAAAGGATGGGACTTGACGAGTGAATGTCCCTCCTTCCAACCTGCAACTCAGTCTCTCCCTGTCTTCCACTTGGCTGGGTGTGCATCTGTGTGTTTGGGGGGGGCGGGGACGAGAGAGAGAGAGAGAGAGAGAGAGAGAGAGAGAGAGAGAGAGAGAGAGAGAGAGAGAGAGAGATGCAGGAATTGAGGCCAAGGGTCGTGTAATTGCTGTGGTCGATTGCTTTCTTGCAATTCTAATGCTAGGTTGGTTGTACACAAATATGCTTACACTCTCGTACGTTAAGAGTTGTCGTACGGTCTTTTCTTTTCCTCTTTTTCGGGCTTCACCTGCTGGAGCGGATCATTGTCCCCGCAGCCATAAAGCTCCCAATTTGCACTTGGAAATGTGTGGCAATGCCCTTTACCAGACATCTTCCCCCCTGCTCTCTCCCCCAACCCCAAACACACACTCGAATTTTAATGGAGGCGGCGGTGAGGTTGGGGAAAGAAGTGGCGGGACCCATTCCAAGTTTTCATCGGCCTCCCATGGGCGCTGCAAAATTCTGCCACACAGGAAATGGGGCATGTATGGACTGCCCAACACCATGTATGCATGGACAAGTACACTACTTGCACGCGATTTGTGTACTAGTGTATTCATTTTTTAGCAGGCCAGCCCTCCACGATCGCACAGCAACAAGGTTATATCCCACTTGACTCCTCGTAATGTACCCTTCCGGGTCTTCCTCTCCCCCCCCCCCCCCCCCACAAAAAAAAAAAAAAAAAAAAGTTCAGCGCGGAAGCAGAGCATGCACTTAGGTGATGTTTACGGTCAATTCCACACCTCAGATGCTTGAATCACAGTCTTCCGGCTCCCGTCTGTTTGTTTTCACATTTGTTCTCTCTCTACTCTGCTTGCTGATATTGTGTGAATTTGTCTCTTGGCTCTCGTCTGTTTGTTTTCACATTTGTACTCTCTCTACTCCGCTGATATTGTGTGAATTTGTGTCTCTTGGATTGTGGTGGCAGGGGGGTGCCAATGAACGTCCGAATGCTGGTGAGAAGTTGGAAATCACTGACGAGGATGCAGCTCTGCTTGCGGAAGATGACGATGACTTGTCACCGGAGGAGCTTGCGGAACTAGAGAGAGGAATTGCGCAAACATCTTTGCAGGACACGTAGACGACACATACGCACTCTGCGGAATTGGAGAGTAATGTGAAGTTTCCCTGAATACTACGAGTTTATGGCGAACTAGTTGGGAGAGTAATGTGAACGTTGTGTGCAATGCAGATCTGGTGGAGCCGATTCCGAAGCCTGAAGGCTTCAAGGTTGTCTCTTAAGATGATGATTTGCTGTGTGTCATTGTTGTTGTGTCTGTTATGTGTTGTTGTGTGCTCCTTTTTTGATGAAACACTTGCCCTTGTGGACTGGTATGACCCCCAAATTTGCACCTGTATATTGTGCGCTTGGCCCTACTGGTTTCAGTGCAGCGGTTGAGTTGCCCCTGTTATTGCATTCTCCGCGTTCAAACCTGGTTGTCGGCTACTTGATGCTTATGTTGGTATTGCATCTCTGCCCCTGTGCTATTGCTCTGCATGCATGGATGCTTGCCCCTGTGCTCTTAAGACCCCTTGATTGCATCTGCTGCTATGTTCTTGATCCTGTTTGTCTGAATTTTTTTTTTTTTTTTTTTTTGTCTGAAAGAACTTGGCGTGCAGGTTCTTCCAAATTTGAAACACGATAATCAGTCTCCGTCTCTCTTCTCCGACTGAATGAAGAAAAAACACACGCCATTCATCGTGTGACCGTGCTGCAGTTTTGCCTGGTGTCAGGGCATATTCACAGTAGTACTTTCCTTGAATGTATATGACTGCGATTACGGCCAGACCTGGATGAAGAATCTGACCGGAATCACGTCCAGAGCTTAGCAAAAGAAGTCGTAGTGCGAGTATGCCTTCAGTTGAGCACCATGTTGTTCTATGATCGTTAGAGACCATCCATCCTTTGACGGCGGACCGCTGTTTCTGGTTTCTGTGCAGCATGGCGGACCGTTTTGTCTGCTTTCTGTACAGCACCATTCCTTTTTTTCTTTCTTCCTTTTCCCCTCTCTGATCCGTCTTTCTCCTCTCTCTCCCAAAGTATTTCTCTTGATTGATGAATGTTTGTAGTCAAGATGCTGGGCAAGGGGAACCATGGATGAAGGCGTTTGAATGACCATGGGTCCATGCCGGGAGGTGGTCCCCACGGTGGGCCACATGTTTGATGCATGCATGACTTTCTCTGGTAACAAGGGTCCATGTTGGGAGGTGGTCCCCCAGGGGGGGGAGTCGAAAAAAGTTTTGAATGGACTCGAAAAAGGTGGTTGAATTGCCAGTACGGCGGGGCCCAAATTGCAGAGCGTAAAGTTTTTTGCACCCGAACAAATACAGCCGTTCGAAGAAAGCGCGGGCTCCTTGTATACGGCTACGGCTGCGGGCAGTTTTGGACGAGGGGTCTTGTACAGGTTTGTGCGCTTAAATGGATTAAAAAAAACTAGAAAAGAAATTTCACGGGAGAAAAACGTGTGCGCTTCGAAGAAAGGGAGATGATGTGCTGCTGCTGCTGCTGTTGGCAGAGTGGAGGTCACACCGATCAGGAGGTTGACATGGTTGAGTGGAAAATGTTTGAAACAAAGGGAAAAAAAAAAGGATGTCGAGCATCACATGAGGCTGTGCAATGTAATAGTCTGTTGTTGAGCATCACATGAGGCTGTGCCATGTAATAGTCTGTTGTTGAGCATCATATGCGGCTGTGCAATGTACTAGTCTGTTGTTGAGCATCACATGCGGCTGTGCAATGCAATATGTTTTCTTTCCCCGGGGCCGGAGGGGAAGAAGAACGTTAAGAACGTTTAAGAGGTGTGGACCGCACTGCCTGGCGGAAGCTTTGCAGGCCGAAGCTTGTGCCAAAAACCCAAATCGCAGGCCCCGGCGATGATGGGAAACAGAAAAGCGGAGCCCACGGCAGCACAAATTTTCGGCAGACCCGTCGTTGCTGGTTTTACCGGATAGGGAAAACTTTCCCAATACAGAAACTTTACATCGGCTTGTCTCGGTGCTCGTCCAATCCCTGGCTCTCCATTCCACATGCTATGCGCAAACGGAGGGGTGTGCCGCCMCCCCCTACCCCCTCGGGATGACCTTAACCGCCAGCAGCGGGCATTACCAAACTGAGTGAAAATGCTTGCCAGGTCATTTGTCAGCGTTTTATAAATCTTTGCCACAAAGCAGTGGGGTCTCACAAACAGTCTTCCAAAGCTTTGCCACAAAGCAGTGGGGTCTCACATATCGTCTTCCAAAGCTTCGCCGCAAAGCAGTGGGGCCCACCTCTAAGTTGGAAAACAAGACTATTTAAATTTTAAATCACCCTTGGAATTTGGTGCCCACCATGGTTACCGCTGGTAACCAGGAGGCCTCACTTGTGTTCATCTGATCCATCGGATATGCGGCTTTGTAGTCTGCAGCTTTTCTTTTTCTTCTGTTTTTTTTCGTGCAGCCCTTTTCTTTCTGTAAGTGATTGTTGCTTTTCTGCAGAGGGTGTGCTGTATTTGGAGGGGATGCACAGCCTGATGTAGGTGCTGATGGGGAACACCAGCAAAAAAGTTTTGCTGGTGCCGTGCTGGTCTAGTTTTGTTTGCCAGAAACTCACAGAAGAAGGTAGTTACCGTAGTAACGGCGTAGTTGTGTTTTTTGTTTTTGTTTTGGTTTTTGTTTTTGTTTTTTCTAGTCAGAGCTTCAGAAGAAGGTTGTTGATGGCAGTGGCATGTTTTTGAGAATCGTACGAGTGTCCTTAAAAAAATGTGGTGCGCAGTGTGCAGCGATGATGAAATGAAGTTTTGAAGTAAAAATGAAAGTGTTTTGAAAGAAAATGAAGGTCTTAAACCACCAGTACTTCCTAGAGTCATGCCCGTTAACGCGCCACGATTTTAGGAAACGTACGGGCTACTACAGGAGCGCCCAAATTCATCCGACTAGAAACGTTTCTCCTCTATTTTTTTTCCGTGGACCATAGCTGGGCGAAGTACTGGTGGTTTAAGTTCTCTTAACAGTCACGCGACAAAGTGTCGTCAGTTGGAGAATGGGACGCATGGCTTTGTGGCGATATTAACGACACACTGATGACACTGAGACAACCAAAACTGCACTCACTCCGCTTGCCAGAGTCAGACGCTCCGTTGCAGTCAGCAGTTCATCTCCTTGTTGGGGATGACAGAGAGATTTTTTATTTATATTTTTTTCCTTTTTTTTCTATTCTTCTGTGGGCCCCGTGATGGCTATCACTGGTGGAGAAAAAAGCGAGTTTAGAGATTGTCGTATTGTCGTTGTTACGTCCTTTGAATTGTAATTGTATCACGTTGAATGCGGCGAACTCGTTAAAGCTTTTAGCGTTGTGGAATGACCGTGTCCATGAGCAAGAAGATCGTTTGAGGGAAGGGGGGGGCGGGAGGGCAAGCGAATGGGACAACATTTCCTACTTAGGGCAGCTTGGAATACATTCTGCGAATCTGCGGGCGGAAGATGATTTTTTTTTCTGTTTGCTTAACTACGCCAGTGCATTGGAAGTAGTTAGTGTAATGGCTTGTTAGACTGCTGAAGATGCAGGTTTTCTTCGTGTGCGGTAGTAGCGTCTAATTAGTAATTAGTAATTAGTAATTAGTAATAATTAGTAATTGCTGAGGTGAAATGGAACTGTACGTCTGTTCGGAGGTTAGGCTAAACTTTCACGTCATGGTGTAGAAGTGGCCCGTTCCCAAATCATTTTTCTGCTTTTTAACATTATGTGCACAGGATGAAATGGTAGGACGCCAGTTAAAAAATAGGGGGAGAATTCGGGTGCTGTCACGATGTTAGTTTGAAAATGCGTGTCACTCACGATTTTGCAAATGTGGTATCAAACCGAGGAAAATCGTGAATGTATACAACCCAGCTTTAGGGTTGGGTGGGGATGTGTTGCATGAGAGGGATGCCTATACTGGATTTGAAACTGAAATTGTGACTGCGCCCTAGTTAACCCTAAAAAATATGTGAGGTGAATATATGGCTATCCACTGATGAGGAGAAGGCAGAACAAGAAGGGGGGTAAAAAAAAAAAAAAGTTAAGATAAGAGAGATAGAACTCGTTAACTGGTGGGGTGGTTTGGTGTACTCATGAAAGTTTTCAGCGTGTGGAATGACACATTCTTTCTCTTCTTTTTCTCTTTTCTTTTCTTCTTCTTTCCTTTTTCTTGTTTTGGCCAATTGCATGTCCTTCTTTTTTCCTTTTTTTTTGTCTTGGCTATCGGGCTGTTTCATCTATTGGTGGGGGGACAACCCGGGGCAGTGTCGCTTGGAAACAGCAAATCGTGAAGGCCTGCGGTGCTTATTTGCCTGTTCCACCATTTGGTGTTGTGCCTTACTGATATTCTCCTTGACTTTGTCCAAGTCCTTTTGATACTGAATAGCAACTTCCCTACCGTCTTCCCCCGAACATAATGCACCCTAGAAATGAATGTATACAAGCTATATTTCTGGCCAGATACAGCCAAACTAAGGGTTCTTCGTTGTGTTCGGGGGAAGACGGTAGTCCCTGGCGGAAGCTTCTGTACTTGATCAGGGTTTAAACAGTCAATGGGTGTACGAGGGTGCCATCCAAGATGCAGTTCAGTTCAGTAGGTGTCGTAGACGTAGCTACATGCACGCAGTTATTGTATGCACTCACAGCTTTTGCCAGATGTTCATCCCAGTCAATATCTGATCTGGCTGGATGTACATGCGCAGTACTTGCTGCAGCAACTTGTTCATCTGCTCGGTTTGTCCATTCGTCTCAGGGTGTCTACCTGAAGACAGTCAGGTTGGACCCATATACTTTCATCAGTTGTTGCCATTGTTCACCTGTGAACCGTGTACCTCTGTCGATTACGATAGTCAAGGGATGCCCAAAGTCCTTCACCCAATGACTAAAGCGTTGCTAATCACTATATCAGCCCTTGCTTCTGCAGGGAGTGGAACAAAAACAGCAAATTTGAAATTTGCTAAATCTGGCTACCGCTATTATAACAAGACTCTTACCGTTTCTGCGCTCTATGTTGGTGTCCACGACGTCGATAGATACGGAGTCCCCGAGTCCCGACGGAATAGGCAGCGGTCTAAGTAATCCAAGGGGAGGTTGTGTCGAACTCTTGTACCTTTGACATACCTGACAGTCTTGTACATAGGAAATTCAATCATGCTTCATTCCCGGCCATGTGTAAGAGTGTAGGAGGTTAGCATATGTCTTCCTCCATCCAAAGTGCCCCTCAGTATCGTGACTTTCCCCGAGTATAGCGCTGCGAATTTCCTCGCCGTTCGGAATGCACAATCGATCACGGACATCTGTTTTTTCAAACAGCATATGTAGTTCGGTGCCTGCATCTAGATACGTTACAATAGTACAAAAAAAGTCAGCTCTCCTCCTCAACGCGTTAGCGACAACATCATATTTCTCCTTAACTGGCTTCAACTCAAAATTGAATTGGTTAATCTCCCCGGCCCACGTAGTCAATTTCAGTGTGTCATTCTAGCTTGCGGATAGCCAGCGAAGTGCTTCGTGATCCGAATACACTTTGAAGTGGCGTCCTGGAAGATAGTGCCACCAATGATTCAGTCAGTGCTTCCTGTAAAGCAAACAACTCTTTCTCGTATGTTGAAGTGCCGATCTTCTCACTAGGCAGTCTACAGGACAAACGCGATTGGTCTGTAGACTCTGTACCCATTGCCATCATTTTGCTGGAGTACAGTACCTACCCCGTACTGACTGGTGTCAGTGGTAAAAATGAAAGGCAAAGACGGGTCAGCAAAAAAAAAAAAAAAAAAAAAAAAAAAACCGAATGTGCAATTAGACACTTTTTTAGATGTTTGAAGGATGTTGTGCAGTCCTGATCCCATTTCCAAATGGTCTTTGTTTTCAATAACCTGCGTTATAGGGCAGGGATTTCCATATGCCCACTCACATTTCTTGGGGTTCAACTTGAATTCCGCTTCACGTTGCTTATTTAGCATCAACCGCAGTGTTCATTCAAATTTTTACTAAACACCAGTATATCATCCAAATAAACGGCGATGAACTTATCAAGTCAATCACGGGAGAGCTCATTCATACATCGCTCGAATGCTGCAAGGACATTTGTCAAACCAAACGGCATCACCACATAGTGGTCATATCTCGTTCGGAAAGCTGTTTTGTACTTGTCCTTGGGCCATATCTCAATCTGATGGTAGCCCGTTTTCAGATCGATTTTGGCGAAGTATCTGCAACCCTAAACTCTATCTAGGTGATAATCTATCTGTGGTAATGGTTCAGCGTTCTTAACGGTTATCGCAAGTTCCCTATACAGCGTTGTCACGCGTGGATCCCCGGGGTCCAAGCCGGGGTAGGGGTTACA